GTGTCAACTGGGCATATTCAGCACTGAACATACTGTTTTAGGCAGCTAAAGTGCTTGGAGTTCTATCATTAATTGAATTTTGTCCCCCAAAAAAGTGTGTATCAGTTTGGCTGGGCCATGATTCCCAGTATTGTGTGGTTGTCCTCCATTTTGTGATTGTAATTTTATGTTAAAGAGGATTAGGGTGGGATTATATAACACCCTTACTAAGGTCACATCCCTGACCCAATGTAAAGGGAGTTTCCCTAGGGTGTTGCCTGCACCATCTTTTATCTTACAAGAGATAAAAGGAAAGGGAAGCAAGCAGAGAATTGGGGACCTCGTACCACCAGGAAAACAGTGCTGGGAGCAGAGTGCATCCTTTGGACTTGAGGTTCCTGTGCTGAGATGCTCCCAGACCAAGGGAAGACTGATGACAAGGACCTTCCTTCACAACCAACAGATAAAGCCTTTTCCTGGAGCTGACACCCTGAATTTGGACTTGTAACCTACTAGTCTGTAACAAAATAAATTTCTCTTTGTTGAAGCTATCTGCTTGTGGTATTTCTGTTATAGCAGTACTAGAGGACTAAGAAATTGGTACCGAGAGACTGGGGTGCTGCTCTAACAGATACCTACAATGTGGAAGTGGTTTTGAAACTGTGAATGGATAGAAGGGCGGCAGTGGCAGAGGACCAGTAGCAGCAGAATGAGGAGGCCAGCGCAAGACGGTGCTGGAGCTGAACCATGGAGTGAGAGAGAGCTGAGTGCCTGAGTGCAGGAAGTTTCCTGGCAGACTGGGGCACCTCCAGGCACTTATCGGTGGAAGTACAGAACTTTGGAACACTTGCCCCAGCAGGGCAGATGCCGGCATGAGGTCCGAGGAGCCAAAAGGCCAAAAAAACAGGAAGCAGAAGCTGAAGAGAAAGGAATACGAGAAGCCAAGCTGCCTCAGTCTCAAAAGGTATGGCCACAACTTCAGGGGTTTCAAAGGGTGGAGCTGTGGCCTCTGGTGTTTCTAAGGGTGGAGTTGCCACTCAGAAGGACTAGGAGAATGGTGCTTTTAAAGCTGAGGGAGCAGAGTTGCTGGGCCTGGAAAACAGAGCTGAAGCCCAGGGCCGAGTGGCTTCCACTCAGAATCTGGACAGTGTGGCCAATGCCTAGAGTCTGGAGCGCCGGGCCATTGTGTAAATTGTCTCAGAGAACAGAGGATTATTTTCAAAGCCTTGATGGTTAATGTAATGTGTTCTGCTGACTTGCTTGGTGCCTGTTATCCCTTCTTTCCCTCCCAGTTTCTCCCATTTGTAATGGAAATGTCTAGCTTGTGCCTGTTCTGCCATTGTACCTTCGGAAGCAGATAACTTGTATTTTAGATTTCACAGATGAAGAGGAATTTTTGGATTTTGGACTCAGAGTTAAGAATTTTTGCTATGATATGATGGGATGAATATGTTTTGCATGTTGCAAGGATGTGATTTTTTTGGGGGCCAAAGGTGGAATGTCATGGATTGAATTATGTCCCCCACAGAAAGGGCCACATAAACCACAGACTTCATCAGCCTGAGACTAGAAGAACTAGATGGTGCCCAGCTACCACTAATGACCGACCTGACAGGGAACACAACAGAGATTCCCAGATGGAGCAGGAGAAAGGTGGGGTGCAGAACTCAAATTCTAGTAAGAAGACCAGACTTAATGGTCTGACTGAGACTGGAGGTACCCTGGAAAGCATGGCCCCCGGATTCTCTATCAACCCAGAACTAAAACAATTTCTGAGGCCAACTCTTCAGACAGGGATTTGATTGGACTATGGGACATAAAGTAATACTCGTGAGGAGTGTGCCTCTTAGCTCAAGTGGATACAAGAGACTAAATGGGCAGCTTCTGTCCAGAGGTGAGATGGGAAGGCAGAGAGGGTTAGGAGCTGGTTGAATGGACATGGGAAATCAGGGGTGGAAAGGAAGAGTGTGCTGTCACAGTACGGGGAGAGCAATTAGAGTTATGTAACAACGTATGTATAAATTTTTGTATGGGAAAAAAATAACAAAAGAATTATGTCCCCCCAAAAATGTGTATATCAGTTTGGCTGGGCCCTGATTCCCAGTCTTGTGTGGTTGTCCTCCATTTTGTGATTGTACTTTTATGTTAAAGAGGATTAGGGTGGGATTGTGTAACACCCTTACTAAGGTCACATCACTGACCCAATGTAAAGAGAGTTTCCCTAGGGTGAGGCCTGCACCACTTTTTATCTTACAAGAGATAAAAGGAAAGGGAAGCAAGCAGAGAATTGAATTGGGGACCTCATACCACAAAGAAAGCAGTGCTGGGAGAAGAGAAGAGTGCATCTTTTGGACCTGAGGTTTCTGGCCTGAGATGCTCCCAGACTAAGGGAAGACTGATGACAAGGACCTTCCTCCACAGCCAGTAGAGAAAGCCTTTCCCTGGAGCTGACGCCCTGAATTTGGACTTGTAACCTACTAGTCTGTGTTGAAGCTATCCACTTGTGGTATTTCTGTTATAGCAGCACTAGATGATTAAGACACCTGCCTTTCCCCACTGTCAACACTGACTCTTTACCCACATTACGTCCTAAAGGCATATGACTTTGAGAGTTGTAATTCTAGTTATCTCCTCTTTCCACTCTGTATAGATGAGACTAGAGAAGGAAGAACTTTGCTGAGGTTACACAGTGGGCTGATAACAGAGCTTTCCAGTTCCCTGGGCAGTGCCTTTTCCCACACGTCATGTCCTCACTCTTTTGTTCTCAGGCTCTGTCTTTTCCCCAAATATAATCCAAGTTGAGGCCAGCCTGCCTCTTGGGCCTGCTGGGCATCGGAGGGTCACTTCTGTTTTTGGAATCAACCCTCTGGCCTCTCATCCCATACATTTCCTCCTCAGGCTCCTATTGACTGAGAGACCACACCCACCTTCTCCTTAATCAGCCTTATTTATTTTTTTTAATTGTGCTTTAAGTGAAAGTTTGAGATGCGAGTTACTCTCTCATACAAAAGTATTGGATGCTACAGAAATGTTAAAAGCAGATGACAATCTGCTACCTGCAGAGGGATGGGGGAGGAGTGGGAATGTTTTATGTCTGTGCAATCTTAGGGCAGGGGAAAGAGCTGCAGCAAGGCTTGTAACTACATGTTCTAATCATGTCATTTTATACATATGATGGATTTCTAGTTTGTTCAGGAAAGAGATCCAAGTATCAGGCAACATGCTTTTGTTTTTTTTTAATTGTGCTTTTAGTGAAAGTTTACAATTCAAGTTAGTTTCTCATACAAAAACTCATACACGCATTATTATGTGACCCTAGTTGCCCTCCCTATACTGTGACAGCACACTCCTCCTTTCTACCCTGGATTTCCTGTGTCCATTCAACCAGCTCCTGACTCTTTCTGCCTTCTTGTCTCGCCTCCGGACAAGAGTTGCCCATTTAGTCTCCTGTATCTACTTGAGCTAAGACGCACACTCTTCAGGAGTATCATTTTATGTCCCATAGTCCAGTCTAATTTTTATCTGAAGAGTTGGCCTCCGGAATGGTTTTAGTTTTGGGCTAACAGAGAGTCCGGGGGCCATGTCTTCTGGGGTCCCTCCAGTCTCCATCAAACCATTAATTCTGGTCTTTTTACAACAATTTGAGTTCTGTACCCCACCTTTCTCCTGCTCCATCAGGGACTCTCTGCTGTGTTCTCTGTCAGGGTGGTCATTGGTGGTAGCCAGGCACCGTCTGGTTCTTCTGATCTCAGGCTGATGAAGTCTCTGGTTTATGTAGCACTTTTTGTCTCTTGGTTGATGAGCCTTATTCCTGGTCATGCTCTCTGCTAAGTGCATGGTACATGCATAGTCTGATTTAACTGTTCTGTGCCTCAGTTTCCTTAACTGAAAATGGGCACAAAAGTAAAACTTACCTCTTGGGAATTTTTTTTGGGAGAATTACATGAGCACATGGCACCATAATGGCACACAATAAGGGCCTAGCAAATGTCAGCTGGTATTATTTTTTAATACTGTGCAGTCCACAACTCTAAAAATGATACTTATATTATTCTTATTTTACAGATGAGGAACATGAGACTCTGAAGATGATGTAACTTGCCCCACATTAAACAGCTTGAAGCCGCAAAAATGTGTGGGCATGAGTTCGAGCCCTATAGAGCCTCTAGGGCACTTGACACCAACAGTAAGATGCTTGTGTAAGGATAAGATGGGACACGAGATGGGCCAGAGCAGTAGACTGCCCATCAGCCACAAAAAAACTCTCATGCGATGGAGGTACACTGTGAAACAAAACACTGACCAAACCCTATGGCAAACTCCCTGCTTGGGATTTTATTTGACTCTGGGAAACCGAAGTTTCAATAAGGGAATAGGATTCTTGACAGCTAAGAGAAGTGAGCCTGGAGCTCCCCGTTACTGGGACGCTGGTTTGGAGTTCATGTCTGAAAATGCTATAAGCTGAATATACTAGAAGAAATTTGGAATTTCAGTTGTTACTTTGGGAAAATGCGTTCCCATTTGTTCTGTCTTTTTCTTCCACTTTTGGGAAAATGAGTTCCCATTTGTGTTGTCTTTTCTCTTCTCTTTGGGAGCTTCTGTTTGGTGCTTAGCTTTCGTCAAAGGGTCTCAGAT